TTATTACAGTGTTGCTTTGAGTAAGTTAATTAAACTTTCAAGTCTTCAGTTTACTCATATGTAAAATGAGTATGCTAATATTATTGCCTTCTTTAGAAGATTATAAAGATTAAGTATGTTATGCATGAATGCTTAGAGGAGTATCTACAGCATAGTATCACTTACTATTGTTCAATCTATACATTCATTTTATTTTATTTGATTTGAAGATTTTTTTATTTATTAGAGAGAGAGCACGCACATGGGCGGGGGGAGGGGCAGAGGGAGAGGGAGAAGGAGACTCCCCATGGAATAAGAAGCCCATCATGGGACTCAATCCCAGGACCCCGGGATCATGATCTAAGCCAAAAGCAGAGGCTCAACTGACTGAGCCCCCAGGCACCCATATATATTCATTTTAAAAATTTCAATAAATATATTAATTACTCATCTAACTGGGTTTTTTTCATAATAACTTGGTTGTTTTATGAATGCAAGATCCTGTATTATTTTTCTCAAGGATAAAAAATATTTATGTTATAAAACTTCTTTTTGCTCTATGAACAATAACTTTGGGATTCAGTCTGTTTGTTGATTGCAGTGGGTTCCTCTCTTTCATAGTAATAGCTTTTTAGGAACAGTTGGTGGGTTGTTTGAAAAATCTCATTTGCCTATCTTTGGTGCCAACTCAAAGACTTTATTTATTTATTTATTTACTGGAGATAGCGAGAGAGAGAGAGAGAGAGAGAGAGAGAGAGAGCGCGCGCGCGCTTGAAAATGATAGGGGGAGTCAGATGCTTAACCGCCGGAGCCACCCAGGAATCCTTGTGGTGCTCATTCTAATTCTGGGTGTTTGCTTTGCTGACTGTGGTGGGAAGGGGAGAAGCACACAATATCCTACATGGCAAGGGACGCGGGTAGTTTACCTTCTGTGGGCGTGTGTGTGCGTGCACGTGCGTGTGTCTGTGTATGTGGTCTCCTTTCTCCTCACCACTGGTCAGCAGTCCCTTGGGATGATACCCTGTCTCCTTGACCCAAGCGCCCCTACTTACAAAGAGCATCTGTCTGGGTTGGGGGTGGACATGTCCACCGGCTGATTCTCATTATCCTGCTTGACTTTTGTCATATACTTTGTCATCATCTAACATAATCTTAGTTATGGATCATTTATTTATAATTTGATTATTTGCCTCCATGAAAGCAAATCTCCAGGACCTAGTATGGTATCTTGCACAGAGTAAATGATTTATGTCTTTATAGAATGACTGGATTAATGCCATTCTTTAGTTGCTTGCTATGATGAAAGTGCCTCTCTTTGTAGTTATTGCCTCTTACCTTGAAGCCTCTCCAGCTCTTGCCCTGGTCCTACCCTGCACAGTTTTGGTTTACAGATCTACTGGCAATCAAATCCTACCTCCTTTATGTAATCCAGGAAGATCTCTGAATTGCTGGACCACTGACGCTCCTTTTTTTGTCTTGCGTAACTCTAACTAATTTTTAAAAATCTATTTCCTGTTATATCTAGGGATTTGTAGGGATAGAAGACATACAGAGTGTGCTTTTAGAAGCTTGACAAACTGTGTTACTGATTTCCAGTGCTTATTTTAGTTGAAGCATGGATGTGATATTAAATTACGCTGAATCTAATAGAGGGACCCTACCCCCCTTTGGCATTCTCTCTCTCTTTTTTAAAAAATATTTTATTTATTTATTTGACAGACAGAGATCGTAAGTAGGCAGAGAGGCAGGCAGAGAGAGAGAGAGAGAGAGAGAGGGATACACAGGCTCCCTGCTGAGCAGAGAGCCTGATGCGGGGCTCAATCCCAGGACCCTGAGACCTGAACTGAAGGCAGAGGCCTAACACGTTGAGTCACCAAGGCGCCCTGGTATTCTCTTTTATAAATATCTTTTAAAATATAAAAATATTTCAAATATGCCAAAGATACAGAGAATATAACAAATACTAATTAGTAATCATCCAGATTTCACAATCCCAACCATTTAGCAATATTTGCTTAAGATCTTTTTTTTACTAAATTAGATACCATTGTTGGAGCCTCCTTCGTACCTTCTCATTCCATTCCTCTTCCGGCCTTTTCACTATCCTGAAGTTGATCGTGTCCCTCATGCCTGTGTCCATGCTTTCTATACATGTTTTATAACCATATCTACGTTTTCTAAACATGTATTATATTTGTTTATAGACATAAACATAATATTGTACTGTTTTACAGGATTTCAAATTGCAAATAAATGATACAAATTCTTTTAATTCTTCAGATTACCCCAAGAGAAAAATCTCACTTTGGTCAAATTTTGAATGCCTTTTCTGGCATTGCTAATTTTTCTTTTAAGAAAGGAATAGCAGGCCTCAGGCTAGAAGCCTGGAGCAGGCAGCCATAAGCAGAATTAAATAATATTGCTTTATTTCCCATTATAATTATTTTGATGGTTCCTTCTATTTTTTAGCAAGTGTTGGTACCTTTCCAGTTACTGTAGTGATTTATTTATTTGTATATTTATTTGAGAGAAAGGGTGCATCCATGCCAGCGGGTGCGGAGGGGGCGAAAAGACAAAAGGAGAGGGAGAGAAAATCTTGAGTAGGCTCCACACCCAGTGCTGAGCTCAATGTGGGGTTCATCTCATTGCTCTCAGATCATGACCTGAACGGAAATCAAGAGTCAGATGCCCCCGAACGACTGAGCCACCCAGGCACCTGTTTCCTTTTAAATTAAATGAGAAAAAAAAGAAAAGAGTTGCTTGAAAGAAAAATATGAAGTAGATAATAGTATGGGACGTACACAGACATGACAAAAAATTAGAGGAGTTTGTACTGAAATGGCTGAAATTTGATACACACTTGACCTCAAGGATAGCGTTCAAGTTCCTTAATGAGACATGAGAAGCTGACCTTTGCTTCCTTTCTCAGTCCATTTACCACTATTACCTCACCTCCAGCACAAACAGCTTGGAGTTTGCTCCTTCCAGTCCTAGCTGAAGGGACCTTGACTATGGTAATCTCTCCTTTTATGGTTTTTCCTGCACCCATCACCAACCCCCACCTCCATTTGACTCTGTTCATCCAGTCAGCCTCTACTGAAGCCCTCCCCCACTTAGTACCCATTACTGTACTGAACATACAGTCTTCCAATTCTAAATCCAAGGGTAGAATTTAGTTCCAGTATCATAGCATCATCATGGCCTGAACAGCTGTTCAAGGTGGGAAGAAAGGATGTTTCAGATAAAATCTGTCATATAAGATGAAGACTGTCCTTGAAGAAAAAAATATTTATCTCATTTCTCGTATGTTTGAAGTTTTAAAAATAGTTACGTTAATAGATCTAAATACCTGATCTTAATGATTTCTTTCAACACTGAGAGAATACTTTGTCATCTAGATTAAGGGTAAAAAAGGGACAGAGAAGGGAAAAATAAGGACCATGATGGGAAGTACCATGATGGGAAATGACAGGTTTTTTATGTCATTTCAACATTACTCGGTGGCTTCTTGCTCCTTACTTAAGCTGATTTCATTAGAAAATGAGAGATCAAATGGAGCATTCTGAACATAACACATTTAAACGTTTGACGTTTTAAGGGCAAAAGCTCCTAAATAACTGTGTGGCCATTGAGATGTTGGAACAATTTTCCAGTTTCATGTTCCCCAGTGCATATAAATAAGTACAATAATACTAACAACACAATAAAACCACAGCGCATAGCGAATGCTGTTTAGAAGTGTTCCATGTCTGCAGTCATGATGAACTAACTGCACTGACTTCTGTTCATTCACTCAAAAGTCTTATTCTGAAACCGACATCCACACCACATGATTCCAAAGCCCTCGCTGCACTTGGCCAGATGTAAATTGTCATATTAACAGAGGTGCAGACAATGCTTTCAAAACTAGTGCTGTATTTGGGGAAAAGTTGAATTTTAGCATTTCTCCCTATGTATTTAGCGTGGCCAAAGCAGAGGGGAAGAGCTGTGCGGGGGACTGGGGGAAGTGACTTCATACTTTTGATTACGGAATGTCATGTTTACCACTGTAAACGTTCAGCCTTAAGTGAGAAAGCGGGTGGAGTGAGATCGCTCTCACGCCCTGCGTTTTGTATGTTACATCTTACCCACCAGCCAAACTTTCTGTATCAGTCTGAGTAGGTCAGCGGCGGAAATGCTGCCTGAAAGGGAAACGCAGGGTCGGGAGGCGGCATGTGCTGCCTTACCCGGTGTTGCCGTGGGAGTTACCTGAAGCACTCAAGCTCTTGCACCCAGAGAAAAAGCTTCTCGTTTCAATTCGGTCGTTTCCGTGGGGAATTGCAGTACGGGCAGGTCCTGGGTGTGGCGATGCCAACCGGGAACTCAGATCTCCGTCTTCCCGCTTCTGGCAAACCTTCCCAGCCCTCGACCGGCCAGTGACCCGCCCTCGAGACCCGCCTTCCGGGATCCCGGGGTCGCTGGCGGACGGACCCCGCCGCCGAAGCAAACCTCTGGAGTGCAGAGTGCGCTTCTCCCCCATTCGTTCTGCGCCTGGAGGCGGATCCCCTTCCCTGCACATAAGTCCTTATATGCACCGGTTGCACCAGCCCGTCTTACTCCAACCCCACAAATAATTAGTGGGGGAGGGAGGCTCGTCGCTCTTCTTCCCCCCTCTGGATTTGTTCAGCGCTAGAGCAGCGAACCCTGCCGAAAAACCCCCCGATGCGATTGAGAGCCATTGTGCTGCAGTGCACGAATTGGACACACAAAAATAAAGCCCCTTTGCCCCTACGATAAGCGCGCCAGGGTTCAGGAACAGCTTTTCACATCCAACCAGATTAGCCTGCAAAAGCCTGGGCGGAAAGGGTGCGTGCCCCTCCCCCACCCAGGCTGGTGCAGAGGGACCGGGTCAGGAAGCGCGGCCTCTCCCGGGTTGGAGACCACGCCTCCTCCGCCACCCCCCCACCTTCTTTACTCCTCCCAGGAAGCGGTGATAGACAGTTCTGTGTGGTTCTCCACCCCCACCCCTACCCCCTCCCAGCAGAGTGGAGGAGTTGATGTGTCTCATTATAACAGCCAATGCAGCCGCCATCCACGCACAAGCAAAGAAGCATGTCCCATTTAAATACACCCACGCAGCCCCAGCGCCCTTAGCAGAGCAGGGCGCGCAGCCCACACGCACCGCGGCTCCGGGCTTGGAGATCCGCGCAGGTTGGGCTCCCGGACCCCGCGGATCGAAGAAGAGCGGAGGATAGGGATCGGGTGCTGTGGGGCCGGGGTGGGCGGGGGAGGCTGGGCCCCGGGCCTCTGGCGCGACACCCGCATGAGGACGCGAGTGAAATAGACCAAGGTGGAATTTCCAAGGGAGAAGCTTCAGGGTGGTTTTGGACCATTTCTCCCGCGAAGAAGTAGACATGGCGAGCGACTCCCCGGCTCGCAGCCTGGATGAAATCGATCTCTCGGCTCTGAGGGTGAGCAGGACATGTTTTCTGATTTCTTTACAGTGGTTTGGGTCCGGGTTGATGGGCTCGGGGCGTAAACTGGGGCCGGCATCGGTGGGCAGAGGCGAATGCGACGTGGAGGGAACCTGGCTTCTCGTTATGATTCGGGGTCTGCTGAGGTGCTCTTGGCTAAGCCTCCACGCAGGGGCTGTGCGGTACGTGTCCTCCTTCGGTTGTGGCCAAGGCTCCCCCGAGAACCAGTGGAGCTAATGCCAGTCTCGTCCTAGACCGGTGTAATAGCCGTAAAAATGAAATGCAACGCTCGTGGTGTGTGTGTGTGTGTGTGTGTGTGTGTGTGCGCGCGCGCGCGCGCGTGGTATGCACACACGCCCCGGACGGTCACCTCGTGCCAAGGCGCGAGACCCCACTGTCCCTTTTTGCAAAAAGAATAACGGCAGCGTGAATAAAGGCACTGGCCACTCACTTTTCCCAGCTACCTGCAGGATGACATTGTGAGCCCGACTGTCCCCACGAAGCCGAAGCTGCCGCTCCAAGGGGACAGCTATTGCAATGCTGGTCTTGTAGATGGCAACTGCCTCCTCTACCCCCTTTCCGCCTTCCGCGCCCCGACTCCCTCTCAGCGCTCTCTTCCGTGCCAGTCTGCCACTCACCTTTATTTATGGTTTGACTTAGCCCTACCTGTGCTTTCTGACTTGGTGCCTCTGACATTTCGGTTTTATGGCTGAACTTAAGCAGGTGAAAGGATGTGTTCTCAGATTTTCCCCAGTCAGACCGGAACTCCCGTGAGAGAGAGAGAGAGAGAGAGAGAGAGAGAGAGAGTGTGTGTGTGTGTGTGTGTGTGTGTTCGTGTTCGCTCTGTGTCTGTGGCCAGTCCTTTGTAGAGAGCATCTACTTCCCTCCAGCCCCGCGGGTTTGCGTTTACCTTCACGTGAATTGCCTCAGACGCCTTTTCATTATATTGACCAAGACATCACTGCTATAGAATCCATTTTGCTGTTGTTTTGAGATCAGAATCCCAGGAATTCCAGTGTAGCCTCGACGACTCCCCACCCCCACCCTCGACTCCCAGCACACTCTTTCGGGGAAGGGGGCAGAGCTTTCTTGCCATTTTAATTAGATGCTGCCTGCCGAAAAGGGGGTGAGGGGTGGGGATGGCGGCAGCAGCAGCGTTGGGGGGGCTCTGAGAAGAATTGGATACCAATTTAAGGATGGCTTCTTCCTCTCCTGAGCCAAGAATAAAATTTAAAAAAACAACCACATATATACTTGAAGCCTGGGGGGCGGTTGAGACGGAATTGATGGTGTCTCTCCATACAGACACCCAGGATAGGTGAAGCTGGGAAGTTCACACGCCCTCCCGAGGCATACATTGTTAGACCGTTGCTAAATCTTGGGATTATAGACCTGAATCTTCATTACTTCTCCTGACACTGCCTCATTCTCCACGGTTATTTTAAATAGCTACCTTTACAGTCAAAGTGGTACTTTTTCTTTAGTCTCATCAATCCTCTCTCCCTACACAGCTCCTTTTTAACTTCCCCTCCTCTTTTTTATCCAAGAGGTGAGGTTTCTGCAAGGCAGTCCAGGGGTTGAGAAGGAACATAGATGCCATTTGAAATGGTTTTTTGATCATTGGACAGCAAAAGCTCATTCATGTAGTATTACAGTAAGCTGTCTATTTCCCTGGCGCAGAAATGCCACATTCAGAACCCACTGCCCCCTGGGCAGCTGGGCGGGGGTTGGTAACAGGGTGGGTGCTTTGGCTAAGACTGTGGTTTCCTGCTTTACAGACTGTGTGTGTTCATCTGCCCTACTTTCTGCGCTGGGAATTGCTGCCAGCGGGTTAATCAGGTGGATGGATGGCCCAGACTACAGGGTAGAGGAGAGTGGCAAAGCCCAGTAGGGGGTAGGGTGGGGGGGTAGGGGGAAGGAGTCTGAACAATGCGCAAGGCTTGTGGTTTTCCTGAGCTAGAATCTCGTCATTGCTCCTCTAATGGAAAGCTCTCCGATGCGATTTTTAAGTTGGGCTTGGTCAGAGGTGTCCCTTGTGGGCTTTTTCCTGGGGAAGGTTTTCTGAGATATGGAGCACAGAGCCTGCAGGCTCGTGAGCAACCACGAGTGCTCACCAGCCTGCCTGGAGTGTGATTCACACACAGGAGGCCTGTGCTCCAGAGATCTGTATTTTGAAAAGATATCTTTGCAGGCTTCACTGAAATCGCTCTCTGTGGCCTGGGCTTAGTGCTTTGCCTCTGTATTTCTGCCTGCAGGAGGTGTGTAAAAAGGGAGGGCCAAGGCCAGCTCTAGGGATGGGAGCTGCTGGCTGGAAGACTTAAATGCAGATGTAGTGACAAATGCCTCCTGGATGCTGAGGGGTATGGCCAGTCTTGTAGGGGGTGAAGTGTGCAGGTTGGCCCTTGAGTCCACAGGCCATCTAGGTGATCTCCACAAACCAGAGGGCAGATAATGTCTGTCTTCCCAAATTAGGAGAGGTGGGTTTATCTAGATGAGAGGTCTCATTTGTTCCTAACCCCTCAGAAAAGCCTGCTTGCTGAGAACCTCGCAGGGAAAGCCTGACCCCTGAAATGCAGCCAAGGTCAGTAGCATCCAGGAGAATTTGCTGCAGCCTTAACCAGTCCCTTGCTGGGTTCTTTAATGTATACAATCAATGCTCTTTTTGTAAACCCTGAGCTCAGTGCATTAAAAGCAGATCCTGTTTGGAGAGGCCTTTATCCTTCTCACTTTGGGGGCTTATTGTTCTCAGCCAGTGATCCCAGACTGGACCCAGTCTAAATTTTCCCCAAATAGCAACAATGCATAATTTAAACCAGAGCAACCAGTGACAGCACTGATCATTTAAATTATGCAAGATTTGGATGATTTTAGAAAGTAAGATAAAACAGCATCCTCTTTGGTTAGAAAAGAGATGATCTGAATCCATTTTTATTAGTCCCAATTTTTAGAGCTCTGGAGATAAACTAAGTGTTGGAGGAAGGGGATGACTTCATAGACTCAGAGCTGGAAGAGAATTGGAGAACTCTTAGCCACTCCTTTCATTTAATACTAAGCTGAAGCCAGAGAGGTGTAGTTGTTGTCCAAGGTCACACAGCTCTGTCTCCCCTGGGGTGGGGGTGAGAGAGGTAAAAAGGGTGGTTTGGGGAGAAAAATCTAGGTTTCCTGACTTCTCACTCAGGGCTCTTTTCTCTAAGTCACACTGTCTGTGGCTGAATCAGAAATCAATCATACATTTTCTGCCTGAGCACAAAAAAATGGCAGAGGAATTATTTCACCAGAGTCATGGAATTGTATTTCTCGAGACTAGAGAAACTGCTTCATGCAGGTAAGCTCCTAACACATAAAACTGTGGAGCAGTAAGTTACCTTTGGAATTCATCTTGTTCCAGCCTCCCCCACCCCAATTCTTCCCCTACTGGCAAATGACGGTCTGAATCATCTAGGACAGATGGTTGTCCTGCATAGTACTCTCTCTCAGTTACCCATCTCCAGCTGAATTGGTCCCATGGGGTCAGTCTGGACATGACATTATTCAGATGTCTCTGCATGTGAGGTTCATAGAGTCCTATGTGTGTTTTGCATAATCTATGTGGATACTAATATATAGTGTTATGGTTATAAACTACCCGTGTGGGTGTATGAAATGTGTGTATACATACACAGGCTACGGAAAACAATCTACTCATTCAAACTCAAGGCTTGAGTCATTCTCCCTTCAAGACATCACAGTATTAAGAGAAATGAAATTTGCCACTGGTATGCTTTATTACATATGAGGTGAGATCAGCCCAGAAAGCTTTTTGGGGATTGGCATATATCTGAGTCTGAGCACCTTGGCTGTCCTTCGTTTGGCCCACGGAGGCAGGCATTGAAGGCCAAGATTGGCTGCTGCTGACTTCACACTCTCAGTTTCTGCCAGGACTCGCACTCACTTTTCTGTGTGAACAGAATTAGATGACCTCTGCTTGTCTTTCCCCTGCCCCTCACTGCCTTCTAGGCCCAGCTATTTCTTTGTCCCTTAAGACCTAGATTTAAGAACTGACTTCATATGGAAGACTTGCACACATCTCTCCTGCCACACTTTCTGTCCTGGTGTTATAAATGGTGTGGGGATTATTTTCTGCCTACTTAATGAACTCTGGCCTCATGAGGCCGGGGGTTAGGTCTTGCTTGTCTTGGAGTCTGTAATTGTAGTTAGTTGCATAAACAGATAAATGCACAAATTAGTGAGTAAGTGAATGGCGTGGACTGAGCACTGGGCTCTGTGTCCATGTCATAGTAGTTCCGTGACTCTGGGTAAGTCCTGTAACCATAATTCATTTAAAAATGGGAATGATCTCAACTGCTTGCTTCCTCATATGCTGGCTTCAACAATCAAAGTGTTTACGGCAATGCTGTGAAAACCGTACAGCACTACACAAATATACTATTCCATGATTAAATTGAATTTTATGGGAATCTTGATTCTATCATTTGATGCCAGTGATTCCACTTAATTGAAAATGATCCTGAGAAAAAGATAACAGAAGGTCTGGCATCTTTCTAATAGCACCTTTTTTCTTATGTGTCAAGATGACCTTGTATGTTTCTTTGCGGGCCTGGGTTGACCTTTGCCTCAGGGTCAGCATTCATTACTTTTTTTTTAAAGATTTTATTTTTAAGTAATCTCTACATGGAGCTGAAACTCATAACCCCGAGATCAAGAGTCGCATGCTCTAATGACTGAGCCAGCCAGGCGCCCCTAGTGTATTTCTAAACCGGTGTCAGGTATCAGCATTATTCATTAAAACTTTCTTCTTTTTTTCTTCTCTCTCTCTCTCTCTTTTTAAACTTTTCCCCCTCTTTATGGATTACCATAATTTAAGTAAAACAACATTTATTATGCCTGTGCCTTTTCAAAGTTTGTGTTTTGGGGAGGAGAGTGGGCACCTGAAATGATAGAATATTTGTCTTGTATTTAAAGCCTTCAGGTCAGAGGTCTCAGGGGGTTAAGAAATC